CAGTTGGGCTATAGTTCTTTTGAGGTGAAGCGTGTGGTTGTCAAGGAGGTATTTGGAGAACCAATGGACAGAGGAGTTTAGAGGATTGGTGGGAGAGGATGGGCGAAGCTGACATGAGGTGGATTGAGCCCAGCTAGATAAATCATTGTCTTTTAGCATTTGCTCATATGAGTTGAAAAGGCTCGAAGTACTTCCAGCGAGGGCAACAGGGTCAGGAGAGTTGTCTAGGTTCGGGGAGTTGACAGATTTGAGGAACGCATTCATCTGGTGAGCCCAGTTATAGGAGGTATCACAAATTAAAGATTTACTGAGTTGAATAAAGCGTAGAAGGCAGACTTTTGGTAAGAAAGAATCATTACGGTTGAGTATTTTTAGCATCCAGTCCCAGGAGTATTTCATGATACGATATTTAATGTGAGGAAGATTGCATTCCAGTCTGAGAGCCTAGCTTGACGTATTTTTTGGAAGATTCAGAGCTCTCTTAAAGAAATCTCATTGGGCTATTTCAAGATCAGCATTATTCAGTAAACCCCATGCAGGAACTGCATAAAGAAGAGTCGAGGAAACAAGAGAATTATACAGAGTTACAAGTGTGCTCCAAGAATTAACGCCCAGACCAGAGATCCCACTAAGAGCAGCACCCGTAGCTATTTTAGCTTTGGCAATAGCTGCACGTGCAGCTTCATTGCCAAGAGCATTTCTAGCGATTGGTACTCCCAGATAGGTGTGGTTATTAACAATTTCCAGAACATTATTTTTATATGATTTGAATCTATCAGGTATTTTTCTTATTTTACCATGTCTTTTGAAGACCATTATTTTAGTTTTACTAACATTGACGGCTAATCCATTTTCATCACAGTAATCGGCGAGAGCCCTGAGTGCTCTATGGAGATTTATCTGAGTGTCGACGAGTATAGCGGTGTCGTCAGCATACAACAACATGGGGATATCAACAAAACCATTAATGTTGAGCCCAGAGATATTTCTGTCTCTGAAATATTTTTCAAAATCTGCAATGTAGAGGATGAACAGTAGAGCACTCAGGGTTTCACCTTGAAGCACTCCTTCAGATACATCGAATTTATCAGATACAGTGTTGTCATTACATCTAATTTATACTGTAGCTTTATCATACAAGGATTTGATTGTTCTTATAAGTTTAGAGCTAATTCCCATATTATTCAGCTTGTTCCACATGCGGTCATGGGGAACGGAATCAAATGCTCTGCGAAAGTCGACAAAGATAACATACACCTCCCGTTTTGGTAAACGGAGTTGTAGTTGTATGGAGGAAAAGAGCGTGAAAATTGCTTCCGTGCACCCCATTCCCCGCCTGAAGCCAAACTGCGAGGGGGGGAGAATATCATTCGCTTCAGCCCAAGTTTCAATACGATTTTTTAGAATATATGTAAAAAAATTTGTTACATGATTAACAAGAGCTATCCCACGGTAGTTGATAGGGTCGTTGGGGTCCCCTTTTTTGAAAATCATAGAGAGAAGGACTTCAGACCAGCTATCAGGGCAAGTTTCTGTGTGGAGGACATTGTTGAAGAGGTTCAGTAGCAAATCGAGGCCAGCAGGAGGCAGAGCCTTGTAAAACTCATTCGAGAGATTGTCAGGACCAGTAGCTTTATTATTTTTAATTTTTTTGAGAATCGTCGAGAGTTCTAGAAGAGAAACCTCCTTCTCAAGAGAAGGAACTGTGTTAATAGTTGGAATGAAAAGGGGAAAATCGCGAGGGGGGTATATAGATTTATAGAACGCGTTCCATTTAACTATTGTTACTTTAGATGCAGTCGCGGGTTGAGCTTTGATGATTTTATAGGTTTTCCAGAAATTTTTCGAGGCACTCGGTTTATTCAATGCACTGGAGATTCGAATTTTGTGGATTTTTTTCTTCATATTTACAAAGGATTTGAAGCGCTTGCGGATTAGATGGAAGTTGTTTTTGACGGCTGGGCAGTGTTTATGCTTTTTGAAAATCTTACTGTATTTACGTACGTCAATTTTCATGCGTTTAATATCTCGGTCATTGAACCACGGCGGGGTATTATTATTATTATTATCCTGTGGGGATTTCCTGCGGAGTGGGGCCTGAACCAAACCAATTTGCTCAGCTGCGGCCTTTAGAGCGCTCTGAAACCTGGAGTTGAATTCATTGGGGGAGTGCAATACTGTTTTTGGGATGTGAAGGAGAGGATGCAGCGCATTATAATATAATGCGGGGAGATTGGGATTCGAGTGATACCATTTGATTAAGGAGGAAGGAGCAGGTGAGGGGCAAGAGGGGTGAACGGGAGATTGAGGAGAAGGCTGATGGAGGGATGCAAGCGCTCAGGGTAAGTGTCAGGTGCACAGGGAAATGCTCAGAGAGGGGCATGGAGGAATCAACCTCAAGATTCCGGACCCTAGAGGTGGCATGCTTTTATAAATACCAGATCAATAACACTAGTACTCGCACCGCGTAAGAAAGTCCAGTTGGCAGGGCGATCACCGTAGGCCCTACCATTCAGCAGGATGTATCCGTTTCTAGCCATAAAGTCTAAAAGAGGACGACCACGAGGATTGACTTCAGGGTCAGAGTTGAGTACGTCTGGGAAGAGAGCACTACCCTCAAAAATTTCATGTGGCAGATCATCAGAGTTACCGACTCTCGCGTTAAAATCACCGGCTAGAATGACTATATCGTCACCATGGGATAGCTCAAGTGTATCAACCAGATTCTGTAAGCGCATAAGAAACGAATTAAAGTCAGCATCTGGGCTTATATAACAGCTAGCAATTATAATATCAGTGTGATCAATAGTAAACTTGGAGAGAATACAATGTTTAAAGCTACTTATCAGCAACGCATTCTGCTTGGAGAAGGTTCCGAGACCGCCCGAGGGACGACCAACATTATGCTTCATCACGGCATTCTCCCAGTGACAGTTGAGACCTCGAAGAGACTTTGGCTGATGATACGGTGGGGAGCGGAACCAGGTTTCAGATATACAGGTGATATCAGCAGACGTGTGGATACCACTGGACAGGAAATTTTCGAAACCATGCACGTTCCAGAAGACAATATGTAGTTCATTGGGAAGAATCAGTTTTTTGGACGGGCCTGCTGGATGTTATGCAGCGAATCAGCACCCATGGCTGTAGAGGTACCATGACGATGGGATTGAGAGCCAGTTCTATGGGCTTTTGTTTGTTTGTTCTCCCAGGGGATTAGCTTTTGAGCCTGCTCGTCCCATCTATAAGTGATGCCGTCGATTTCTATCCAATTGTACCCAGGTCTCACTATCTTCCCCTCAGCTCTGGCAGACTTCGCATGATCGCGAAGTATTTTAGCGATTTGGCTTTCGGATGTGGTTAAATCTCTCTCAATAAAAACATTCTTGAATTGCTGTTTTTCAGCAAGCTTTTTCTTTTGGTTAAGAATAAGGAACTTGTCTTCCACCGACTTCAATTGTACAATAATAATGCTGGATTTAGCTTCACGAAGTGAGATGAAACGTACACTGCGGATCACTTCTTCAAGCCCAAACTCGTCTTTCAGGAAACTCGTGGTGTGTTTGAGAGCCTCAGGGGCAGAGGTAGAGAGACCCCTAATTGTGATGTTAAGTTTCTTTTGTTCCTTCTCCAAGTAATCAATTTTCTTTAATAGGTTTCCCATGATTTCATTGGAAGGGGGGGTGAACTTGTCAGAAGAAATTTTGGTTTCAATCAAAGAGAGCCTTTTGTGAAAATCATTTTTAAAGGTTGCATTCTCCGTCCTGAGAGCGGCATTAGTCTCGATTACATTACTGACTTTGGCTTCAAGAGACGTCCTCCTTGAGATCAGTTCGTTTTTGCAGTCTCTCAATTCTTCCTTGAGGGTATTGGATGAGCTGATTGAGTCATTAAGCAGTTTGGTGATGCTCTTAAAATTCTCAGCAAAATTACCTTCAATTCTGGATAGCCTGTCCTCTACTGAAGTGTGAGCAGATGTTCCTGCTGGTGGAGGGGCCAAAGGGTTCAGAGTGAGCTCCGCGTTGTTCATGGTGTTGAGAGAGCTGGACATAGACAAGAAGTTTTCTCGTTCTGAGGCACTATCAGAGGACTCTAGGGTTGTATTCGGTGAGGATTTTCTCGGCTTAATGAATGAGAAATCTTCAAATTTACCAAATTTTCTATTGCACGAATCGAGTTTTACAGGCGGCGATATATGACGTTTTCTCTTTGAACATGTGTTTGGACTTGAAGTTGCAACAGGTGATTTCAAAACAGCTGACAGGATACCTCGGGCATCAGCGGAGTCATTTGTATCGGCTGCCGCCTTGGCGTTACCGATAGTCGATACAGCAGCGGTCGCACCGTCAAACATTAGTCTCGTGAAAAACTATCGCCAAAACGTGGTTGGGGTAACATAACCTCTGAATAAGCACTACAGAGAAGACATATTTGCACCACCAGGCAAAACCACACGATCAGGATTAATTGTTCAGTTGAAGTAAAAAGGTCCAGTAAAGAAGGTGCACGGTGATATTAAAAAATAAACTCCAAAGTTAAGAATCATAAGTAACAAACTCGGGGTAGATAGAAACACACAACTGTACCACTCGAGTGCTCGTAGCGCCCCCCATAAATGACAAATTGAGAATTAGAAACTAAAAATTTTATCGGCTTATTATGTCGTGATGGGTCGTGGGAGAAAATCCCGAAAAAGATGTTACGTAGGGATTTTTTTATGGTAAAAAAGGTTCTTCAACATTTTGTCTAAAAATCACTCATTTTCGAGATCATTGCAATATTAGAAGATCATATGATTTTCCACTATTTTTGATACTTAAGAAAAATACATATTTGTTATTAATTAGTAAATAGGTATTTTGAAGTACTGCGTCACTCTATTCAATAAAACATTTCACGCAATAATCCAATGAAAAATCAAACCCAACGAAAGCATGTTTAAATTGACTTGTTTAAATATTCAATCTTCGAATTGAATGGCTTTTGAAGAATTGACTTACTTTTGGCACCAATATCAAGCTCATTGGTTTCCTCTTCAGGTCTGAGAGCTCCCATGACGCTGCCAAGCCCCGCACTCTCACTTTGATATCCATCATTCTGCGCACCCTCAACTCTAATTGTGACGTTTCTCCACTCTAACGAGTTACTAGTCGCCAACCTACATCCGTAATTTCCCTCGTCCATCATTTCTACATATTTAAATCTCAACGACTGTTTGAGCACTCGAATTCTCGAGGAAACCCCCCGAAATTGTGTTTCCTCTTTGAACCACGTCACCTCCTCATCCTCATAAGTCGCTGGACAGCGTACAATTAACTTCTCTCCTTCCTGGAGTATTACATCTTCGTTGAATGTATCTGAAATAAACGAGAGAAGTAGAATTATTATTACCCAGTCCCGGGATTATGAATTAGTAAAACTACGATTCTGAGAAATGTGCGGGATGCCACAGCATCATCGACATTGCTTTTTCAGTCCTCGCAGCGTTATAGTACAGGCGCCATAGGAGCTTGAGTCTAAACGCCCACGGATTTCTCGTAAAATAAAAAGCACACGTAAACACAGGGAATTTTAAACTTCATAATATTTTTGCAGATCCATTTGCTGGTGAGAGAAAATTTTTATTTTTGATGAATTATTTTCATGAATTGTTGGGGACTGTTGCTAATGTTTTCAAGTGTGATTGATAGATAGTCAGTAACTTTCAACTTTGTTACGCTTTCTCTAGAATCCAATAGCTGAGTGGTAAAAACAGAATAGGAAATACCTTCAGAACAAACTGATTTACAGATTTTTTTGCAGATATCTTCGGACGGAAAAGGTTTACAAGAAAATATCGAAGGTCTTTTTTTGTTAAAACTCAATGTGCTATAAAAAAGGTTTGGAACATTATTTTCTAATTCAAATAGTTCCAGAAAACTGTATTTGTATTGTGCCGATTTCCTTTGAAGATTATACCATTTTTCTGTGCAATCTTTTTATAGAGATTGTTTCATAATTTCTCCGATTTTTGAATAAATAATTTTCTTTCTTGGATTTAAGGTACTTCCTCAGTCTAATTTTGGGGTATAGAGTGGGTATAAACGTCAGAGATTCCGACACTCCGCTGCATCATTCAAAAAAAAAAATTAGATTTATAAATAGATTGTTTGCCGATCGGTTATATTTCAATGAATGATTTAAAATGAATTGGTGAAAATTTGTTTTCATTGCTGCAAATTAATTATACGAATTTATTAATGAATTGAAATTTCTACGATTGACTTGGCAACGACGCATTTTATTTCGATGGAGTTGGTATGATTGTACTCGGTGTAATGCTGTACCATACTATTGAGAACCTCTCGGAGACTATAGTGTTGCCTCTCACGTGAGCGACTGTCTTATCTTACCGAGGTTAGAGTTAGTTAGACCGTGTTGTTTATGAGTGCTATTGCAATTTATTTTTCGTAAACCAGTATTTCGTTAGTTTTGGGCCCGGTTGCAGCACCCCCTGTTAAAGTTACCAGCCAGTAAACCTCTGGTAAATCTTTGATAAATTTTATTCGGATGTTACTGGAGGTCTATCGAGAGTCTAATCAACAGAGATTTATCCCCCCGGTAAATGTCTGTTAAGTAATCCTCAATTAGTTTGCAATGATTTCATTTTTTAAACTTTGAAAGGTTTGAGTTTGATTTTTCATTTTAAACTTTTAGGAAACATTTTAAAAATCTGAAAAAAATTGGAAAGTCTGCTTTTGGAACAGAATTGATAAAATAATTAGAAAATTGCAATATTTGAAAATTAGGGGAGAGTGGGGCGAAGTGAAATGACCCGGCAAAGTAAAACGAGAGGTAGAATGAAACGCGAAGGAAAGTGAAACGGTAGCGAATTTCATTCTTAATGGTCAAATAGTTTTGAGGGTCAAATGAGAGAGTGATCAGGAGGATCGAAAGTTCTTAAACCCACACGGTTAAAGGGATCGTGTGGATAAAATGGACAAACTGTTTTTCATTTAAGGAGAGGTTACTACGAGTTTTAAAAGTCACGGAATATTGCAGTGAGATTTATCGTACATTGAAGATCGATTATATATCTTGAAAAACGAAGAATGAGTGCAAAACAAGATTGTTTATTGTATGTTTGCCCTCCAGGCGCTTGAAATCTAAAAAAATAGTTCAGTGTACTCAATTTTAGAGCTACGAGGGTCTTTTTTTCTCAAAATTTTTTCAAATATGTGTAGAATAACAATTACGAGGTACTTGTTTCAACTCCTAAATAATCAATTCCGTGACTTTTTTAATTTAAAAAATCAATATTCCTGCAAAACAGCCAGGAAAATAATCCTGAAAATAATTATAGTATTTTGGATTTGAGGAAAAAATTTAGAAGTATTCATTCTCCGGGTTGTTTTGCTTGATATTGCAATTTTTTATTCGGAAAAGAATGAAATTGGTTGTTTAGAAGTCGATTTTCGAAAAAGTACCTCGTGATTGTTATTCTACAGATCTGTTGAAAAAATTTGAAAACTATAGATTCTGAGATTTTCAATCATCAAGTTTGTCTATTGAAGTAGCTCCACCCTCACTATAAATTTGAAAATCATTAAAAACTGCACGGAATTCCCAGGAAATTCGATTCGGTTCGGAAGGGTATTTTGTTCTCAATTTAATGGCCGTTTGGATTTTTTAGTGAAAAAATGGTGAAAAATCAGGATTTAAACCAGTGCGGGGCTGTTCATTTATTACGAAAGACATTCAGAGGGAGGGTCCTACGATTTCTGAGTTCATTATTTAGNGGGGGGGGGGGGGGGGGGGGGGGGGGGGGGGGGGGGGGGGAAGAAAGTGAAAATGTCATATAAATACGGGAAAAAGTCACGTATTACCAAATAAAAGTTCCAGTGCTGGAATTTTTCCCTGGCCGTCACTTTGAGCCCTTTTTCCAGTGCCAGCACTAGAATTTTTTTAGAGAATTTCTCTCCGTGCAAAATTTGAAATGGAGGAAAATCCGTTACGATTACGAATAAATGATTTTTAGGGTAGAAAATTGATTATTGCTGAAGGATTTATGGAAAACGATAAAAATATGAATTTTGTGGAGGTGAGCAGGTTATTGAAATGAAGACTCCAGAGATCCAACGTTGAGCGAAATATATTTGAGTTTTTGAACGTTAATACAAGAGTGGAGAGTTAGTCGTAAGATGACTTGTCCTCTCTGTTGATGTATTTTCCAGTGGTTGAGCGATAAGTGAATGTCGAGTGTATGATTGACTGATGATGAGTGTAGAAAGTGTGCGGTATTTAAGGAGAGTGCAAGGATATGATTGGTGGAACAATTGGTGAAGGGATGGGTGAAATCCTGGCTTCTGATTGGTTCGGCGCTGTAAGTTCCCGCCGGTGAGCTGTGATTGGCTCGGGGGTCTCGGCGGGGAAATTTCCGTCGTGACGTCACAGGCGCCGGTCAGGCGGACGAGGGATTATGAACGCCAGGTGATGATGAGGGATTAGGACGCACGGAGGATTATGGCAATAACCATAAATGCGATGGACTGTTTATAGTAGGGAAGTTTTGAGGATTAGGTTAGAATTTTCTGTGTTCGAGTGATTTGGGAATTGGCCCACCGTCTAGACAGGGGCATAGTGGAGATACAGTCACCATAATTTGTTAATTATTTCATAAATTTTTCACACGAAACAGTGTAACAAAACGGTTATAGATCCCGTCAAACGGTGAAACAATTAGAAGGTCCAAACGGGAAAGATTTTCTTCCTTCACCCTCCTGTATGGCCCTTGTGATCCTTTCAGGCGACTCTAACGTTTGACCCATATAACTATTTGATTCTACCCGTCCGTTCGACCCTTGTGAAATAAGAGCTTTGGACGGTGGTAAACTGGGTGACCCTGATAACCCATTTTACCCCTTTCCTCCGCCTAGTTGATACGAAAAAAAAAACAAATCATCTGAATTCCGCCATACATTCGGTTTTTGCTATCGTTTCATTTTGCCCGGCGTTTCACTTTACCCTGGGTCCCCTACGACCATTTTTTATGGATAATAATTATTATATAATATAATTCATTCATTTATAAAAAATCAATGTTCCAGCCTGAAAATACTTTTTTCGAAATCGAGTTCGACGACGCCTTGAACTCGGAGTTCGAGAAACAAGACGAGTACAAAAAACAGTATCACGAAGTGAAATTCAAAGTACAAGCACTCGAACCTCCACCAGGTATCCCACCCATCCAAGTGGTTCAGGGAGACAATCCTCAAGTTATACAGGCTATTCACCACAACAGACGCTATAATTTGTCGAAAATTTAGCCTCCCAAGTTTGATGGTGAACTCAAGAATTACCTCCAGTGGTGGAGTTTATTTAAACCAATTGATGAAGACCAAACGATTCTCAAAGAAGAGAAATTCACGTATCTGGTCCAAGGTATGGTGGAGGGATCCAAAGTAGCAGAATTAGTTAAAAGTTTCCCACCCACACCAGAGAATTATGATGCTGTTGCCAGTTTACGTAATCGTTTTGGAAAAAAGGAATTGTTAGTTGAAACGTACGTAAGAGAACTTCTGAAGCTCGTTCTCAGCAATGCAGTGAACAATAAAGAGGTTAAAGAGTTGTCAAGTATCTACGATCACTCAAGACGCAGTTGAGAGCCCTCGAGTCCATGGGAGTAACGACAGACATGTGTGCTGTAATGTTATATCCACTAGTCGAGTCTTCACTTCCGGAAGAACTTCTGCGTGCTTGGCAACGTCATTCATCCACACTGCAGATTCCAGATGCGAAAGAGAGATTGAACAACTTTATGGACTTCCTGGAAGCTGAGGTGGAAGCAGATCAGAGAATCGACATGGCTAGGAAGGGTTTCAGCATCTCTACATCAACTCAGAGTGAGAATAATGAGTCAAAGTCCAAGAAGAAATCGAAAAGTGAGTCTAAATCCATACCAACAGTTGCTGGTCTCCTTGCCACCAAAAGCGCTGCATCAGCTGTTTGCATTTTCTGTGATGGAAATCATGATAGTGCAGCTTGCGAGAAAGCTAGGAAAATGACATTGACTGAGAGGACTGAACTGGCCAAGAAGAAGAATGCCTGCTTCAAGTGTCTCAAGACTAATCACAGCTACAGGACATGCAGACTCAAGGATACATGTGGTTGATGTGGAAAAAGACACGTGCTCCTGATGTGTCGAGAAAGAACCGAGAGCAGTGGTGCAGAAGAAACATCTAAAGTCGAGACGAAAGAGCTTAACCTCGCAAACTTCTCTTCAGATCTCGAAGTTTTACTCCAGACCCTAAAAGTCAAGATCGTCAATGGAAAGGCAGAACGTGAGGTAAGAGCAATTATAGACACGGGTTCTCATCGT